TGTCGAAATTCGACCTTCAATTATATGCTTTTTGAAAGTAGCCGAATTCCATTAATCTGTCGAAATTCGACCTTCAATTATTTGCTTTTTGAAAGTAGCCGAATTCCAATAATCTGTCGAAATTCGACCTTCAATTATATGCTTTTTGAAAGTAGCCGAATTCCAATAATCTGTCGAAAAACGACCTTCAATTATATGCTTTTTGAGAGTAGCCGAATTCCAATAATCTGTCGAAATTCGGCCTTCAATTATATCTTTTTGAAAGTAGCCGATTTCCAATAATCTGTCGAAATTCGACCTTCAATTATATGCTTTTTGAAAGTAGCCGAATTCCATTAATCTGTCGAAATTCGACCTTCAATTATTTGCTTTTTGAAAGTAGCCGAATTCCAATAATCTGTCGAAATTCGACCTTCAATTATATGCTTTTTGAAAGTAGCCGAATTCCAATAATCTGTCGAAATTCGACCTTCAATTATATGCTTTTTGAAAGTAGCCGAATTCCAATAATCTGTCGAAATTCGACCTTCAATTATATGCTTTTTGAAAGTAGCCGAATTCCAATAATCTGTCGAAATTCGACCTTCAATTATATGCTTTTTGAAAGTAGCCGAATTCCAATAATCTGTCGAAATTCGACCTTCAATTATATGCTTTTTGAAAGTAGCCGAATTCCAAAAATCTGTCGAAATTCGACCTTCAATTATATGCTTTTTGAAAGTAGCCGAATTCCATTAATCTGTCGAAATTCGACCTTCAATTATTTGCTTTTTGAAAGTAGCCGAATTCCAATAATCTGTCAGAATTCGACCTTCAATTATATGCTTTTTGAAAGTAGCCGAATTCCAATAATCTGTCGAAAAACGACCTTCAATTATATGCTTTTTGAGAGTAGCCGAATTCCAATAATCTGTCGAAATTCGGCCTTCAATTATATCTTTTTGAAAGTAGCCGATTTCCAATAATCTGTCGAAATTCGACCTTCAATTATATGCTTTTTGAAAGTAGCCGAATTCCATTAATCTGTCGAAATTCGACCTTCAATTATTTGCTTTTTGAAAGTAGCCGAATTCCAATAATCTGTCGAAATTCGACCTTCAATTATATGCTTTTTGAAAGTAGCCGAATTCCAATAATCTGTCGAAATTCGACCTTCAATTATATCTTTTTGAAAGTAGCCGATTTCCAATAATCTGTCGAAATTCGACCTTCAATTATATGCTTTTTGAAAGTAGCCGAATTCCATTAATCTGTCGAAATTCGACCTTCAATTATTTGCTTTTTGAAAGTAGCCGAATTCCAATAATCTGTCGAAATTCGACCTTCAATTATATGCTTTTTGAAAGTAGCCGAATTCCAATAATCTGTCGAAATTCGACCTTCAATTATATGCTTTTTGAAAGTAGCCGAATTCCAATAATCTGTCGAAATTCGACTTTCAATTATATCTTTTTGAAAGTAGCCGAATTCCAAAAATCTGTCGAAATTCGACCTTCAATTATATGCTTTTTGAAAGTAGCCGAATTCCATTAATCTGTCGAAATTCGACCTTCAATTATATGCTTTTTGAAAGTAGCCGAATTCCAATAATCTGTCGAAAAACGACCTTCAATTATATGCTTTTTGAGAGTAGCCGAATTCCAATAATCTGTCGAAATTCGGCCTTCAATTATATCTTTTTGAAAGTAGCCGATTTCCAATAATCTGTCGAAATTCGACCTTCAATTATATGCTTTTTGAAAGTAGCCGAATTCCATTAATCTGTCGAAATTCGACCTTCAATTATTTGCTTTTTGAAAGTAGCCGAATTCCAATAATCTGTCGAAATTCGACCTTCAATTATATGCTTTTTGAAAGTAGCCGAATTCCAATAATCTGTCGAAATTCGACCTTCAATTATATGCTTTTTGAAAGTAGCCGAATTCCAATAATCTGTCGAAATTCGGCCTTCAATTATATCTTTTTGAAAGTAGCCGATTTCCAATAATCTGTCGAAATTCGACCTTCAATTATATGCTTTTTGAAAGTAGCCGAATTCCAATAATCTGTTGAAATTCGACCTTCAATTATATGCTTTTTGAAAGTAGCCGAATTCCAATAATCTGTCGAAATTCGACTTTCAATTATATGCTTTTTGAAAGTAGCCGAATTCCAATAATCTGTCGAAATTCGACCTTCAATTATATGCTTTTTGAAAGTAGCCGAAAGTAGTATATAACCAGTTTTTAAATCATTTTTTCAAAAACCGTTTTATACCATTTTTTTAAAAACCTTTTTAAATCATTTTTTAAAAACCTTTTTAAATCATTTTTAGCAAAAAAATTTAATTTTTAAAAGTTTCCCGGTAATTTTGTTGAAATTAAAAAAAACATAAAACCAATTAAAGCCAATTAACACATTAAGCCAATTAAAGCCAATTAACACATTAAAGCCAACTTAAATTTTTAAAAAATAAAAATTTTCCCTATAATTTACCTATAAAGCTTAAACCTACACGGCAAAACCCCACTAAATTTTTATAATTTTCCCCATTATTTCCATATAAATCCTAAACCTATCCAGCAAAACCCCCATAAAAATTATTTATAAATTAAAAAATAAATCTGCCCCCCCCCTCCCCCCACCTTCTATCTTTGAATTCCAAAAAATTTTTACTCCAAACAAAGAAAATAAAAAGAGGGTAAACAAAGAAATAAGGGCAGACAGCTGGTAACCAAAATCAGCGGCCGACCAATAAAGGCCGCTGAAAACTTCTTTTGTTTACCTAGTTGTCAGCCTCTTAGTGGGCAGCCACGGATTTTGGCCGAACAGCTGTCTGCCCTTTTTTCTGTGTTTACCAACTATTTTGCAATTAAATTTTTATTTTTAAAATTTTATTTTTCAAATATTTATTTTTAAAATTTTATTTTTTAAATTTTATTATATTTTATAATTTACTATTTTTTATATAATTTTTAATAATTATTTTTATATTTAAAGGCAGAAAATTCATAATCACAAATATGCAAACTACAGATATTTCTAAAAACTTCTACTTAAAACTTCTACTCTTCTACTGAAAAGCTGCTGATTTTTGGCAGACCGGCCTTCTGCCCACACTTCTCTTCTATTGGTCGGCTGCAAACTTTTGGCTAGCCAACTCCTTTGTTTGTCAAGCAACTCAAGTTAACAAATATTGGACTGGTGGTATTTGGTCTCCGCAACTTCATCGCTTAAGCGATCCAAGCTCTTATAATGGCGACAACAAACTTGGCGTTTTATTGATGCAACTTCGAAAAAAAATAAACGAATGCTTATTTTAATTTTTCATAAAAACCGAAATTATATTGATAATTTTATGATAAATATTTAGAATATCTTCTTCATTCTTTTCACCTGTAATTATACATTTTCCTGTAGTGAAAAGCAAAACAACAATTCTTGAATTTTTAATCCTCAGACACATTCCAGGAAAGACTCGGACTCGCCAATTCTCAAAAAGTCATAGAGTGCTAAAACAACTTTAATAAATTATTTACAAATTAACCTGGTAGATTAAGAGTTTTTGAAAATTTGAACGAAGCAACAACATTTTGTATTTTAAAAGTGCCAATTGCGGCAGTAATTGTCGAGAATTCCATTAGAACATTGGCTACTTTTTCTGTGAATATTTTTATAGCTTCCTTAGCCAATAATGTTGATTTCGCCCCAACACAGACTAGTTTTCCATTTGCAAAAAGTAATGCTGTAGCGCGAATGGGTTCTGTGATTTTAATTATTAATGCAGAAAATTTATTTGGATTATAATTAGAATGTTATAGATGTTTAGAAATAAATTCAAGATCTAATTTTTGCTGCTTGTAAATTAAATTAACTGTTGAAACTACATTCTGAACTTTCGGTAATTCCATCTAAATGTAAAAATGTCCTTAATAAATGCCTTAGTTGGATGCCAGATGCCTCTAATAAATAATCAGGCATATGATATTGTGCTTGTTGATCCTCCACCGGAAAAAATATTATATTGTTTTGGAGAAATGAATGAGACAATCTTTAAACTTAAACAAATGGGAATAACAACATATAATGGAGTCACAGACCCTGAACTAATTAAACAAAATCAGCTTCTTATACTTGATGACCTTATGTTGAATATTGAAAACGATTTCCTAGATCTTCTCTTTACAAAAGGATCTCTTAGTAAAAAAAAAGGATCTCTTAGTTACAAAAGGATCTCTTAGTAAAAATTAATTAAACTGTTAATTAACATAATTTAAATAATAATTATGTAGAGAAATCGTCCTATTTCTCTAATATTAAACAAAAAAATCCTTTTCAATCAAAATTTTATTTCTTTCACCAAAATATAAATTATAGGAAGGCTAAAATTATTGCTATTGTAAAGCAAAGGAAGTACAATTAGTAATGTGAAGAGTGAAAAAGTGAACAACGAATAACCAATTGAAGGGAAATGAATAAGCATATATAAAGAAAAATTGTGTGGACACAAAACGATTACAAAGTTGAGAAAAAGCTGGGAAAATTCTTTAGATATATTTAAAAGATAAGGAGTGCAAAAAGTAAAATTGAATTAAAAAATAGAATTTTAATTAAAGAAATTTCGCGTTTCGCGACATTCCGGCCAGGGCATTCCTATCGGTAGTGTTGACGGCTGCAACAAGGGGAGTCGTTGTTGTGGCGGTTGAAGTCGATCATATTCAAAGGTGTTGGTGGATGGCGCATCACAAAGTTTATGCGGGAGAGCGGGATGGGACCAATTCGTTGATGTATTGGCAAGTAAGGGTGGATGCGTACAGTCCAGGGCGGTGCATGCATGTTCGGGTGAGTGGACATGCGGGAAAAAATTGAGGGACGATTTAATAAGTTTGGTTGGACATTTAAGTTTACCTTTATGGGAAGATCCTTCGGAATTGTTTTAGCAATTTTCAAATTTGTTGGAGTTGGAATTAATGTCGTTGCCAGGGAAGTCTGTTGTTGTAATTGGAGTGCCGCGACCAGTTCAACAGTTTCAGACGGCAGAGAGGAGCAAATAATAGGTTGATTAATGGTGTTGTCAATAGGAGGATCGGGAGTTGATTCATTATTGTTATTGGGGGCTTTCAGGAGTAAGTGGTTCGAATAAGTTGTCGGTTGGATCCATTTTCTTGATGGGAGAAGGTTTTTTAGGTAAAAGGCTTAGATGTTTGAGAATAGGGATAATTTCTTTCTCGGTTAGAGGGGCTCGGGTATGTCTGGGCATGTATCTAAATTAAAGTAATTAAAGCGATGAGGAAGGTCGGTCTAAAATGCTCGAAGGCGGATGGGAGTGAGAGGTAAGTTCAGTATTTGGTGGAAGGGAGGCAGTAGTGGAGCGGTTAAATAAACGCTTTCGATTAGACCACAAATTAGTTAGGAGGATTAGGAGTAGGAGAAAGGTAGTGACAATACTGCAAAGGATTACTGCCGAGAGTTCTGGTTCTTCCAAAAGGTGATTTCCGAGTAAGTCTAATCCAAAATAAAAGGCTGCCGTGGACAGGAGAGAGGCAGAAGTAACGGCCAAGGACTTGGTAAGTTTTCGGAAATTGGCCTTAGGTTTAAAGTTAGCGTGTTTTATAGGGGAGTACGAGTTTGATTTCTTCAAGGAAAGGGGAAGGCTTTCAGTAGTAGTTAAAAAGAAGCAAATCAGGAAGGCTATTACAGCTATAGTATGGCGAGTTCGAACTCGTGTAAGGCACCGGGAGCGGATAGTATAAATCAGAAATGTGGCGGTGGCAATCAGTAAAATCAGTAGTATTAGGATAAACGACAAAAATCCGTAGTCGAAAGTTTCTTTTTTAGGTTGGTAATTAAATTCAAGGCCTACGGCAAAAATATTTCCCATAGAAATTCAAATAAAATAATTCTGAAATTAGGATAAGGTAAGTTATTAAAAAGAATTAGGTTAAATGGCTAAATGAAAATAAAACAAAAATATTTGGGAAATAAATTAAAAAATTTTAAAAATTTATGAGGTATATTGCGAAGCACGCTCCCCCAGGAAAATTCAGTGTTTGGGGATCTTTCTGTTTCTTAATTCCAGGTAATGATAGTTCTCAACTGTTGGATTGTTCAAAGGGTTTGGTATTTTATTGGTCTCAATTATGGGCGGGATGTTTGGTTGTTTCTCTTCAAACGTTTCCAAAGGAATAAGATGTTTTACTGAACGAGTGGTTATATGTCCTGATAACATCTTTATTTTAGCCGTGCTTGGGAAATCGGAAGTGTTTGTATAAATTTCTAAGATGGTCGCTAAAGGCCAGAGAGAGATGGGACTAACATCGTTGTAAACAATAACTAATTCCCCTTCTTTGGGAAAACGAGTAGGGGACCTTTGATTTTTATGTTTCTCTCTCAAAGAAAGGATATAGTCTGAAGTCCATTGGGTTTTAAATCGGCCAATATTTCTTTGTATGGCTTTCCATAGTAGGGTGAGTGTTCTTTGGTTGCTGGAAGGTGGTAGGAGAGAGTTTGTGTTTGGTTTTTCTAAGAGCTGGGAATGCTCATGATCGAGAGGTTTTAAAAAGTCGATCGGTCGTAAGGGACGGGGATCGGCAGGATTGGATGAATCGTAGGCAATAGGCCGGGAATTAATTATAGTTTCTATTTCGGCGAGTACTGTTGTTATATGGTCGAGGGAAAACAATTTTGGAATAACTCCAATAGAGAGGGAGCGTCTGAGGTGGTATTTTATTAGGGCTACTAAACGTTCGTAGTGTCCGGATTTCCACGCTGCTAGTGGTGCTCTGAAATCCCATTCAATATTCTTTATGCCGAATTGCGGCTCTAAAGCTTTTTGGAAGGAAGTAAATGTTGGTGCGTTGTCAGAAAATAATTTTTTAGGTAGTCCACATTTAGCAACAAATCGTCGGAAAGCCAACAGAAAGGATTGATTGGTTAGGTCGGGCACTAGATCGAGAGAGAGGGCACGGGAAGAAAGGCACACCCATAGGACTATCCAATATTTTTTGGTGAGTGGCTTCCTTTTTCTCTCGGTTTGGTTTTGGTTAAATATTTTTAAAGGGCCGCAGTAATCAAGCCCCACAGAAAGGAAAGGGCGCAATAATTCCACTCTTTCGGAAGGTAGTGGCGGGAAGGGAGGTGGGTCAAATGGTTTGGCAACGAACCGACGGCAAGGTAAACAGGATTTATAAATAACTTGGGAAACGATTTTTCTCCCTTTTGGTAGCCAATATTTCCGTCTAATCATGGAGAGGGTTAACAGGGGGCTGGAATGGTGATTCAATAGGTGATATTCATAAACAATTAATTTAGAAAGGGGGGAATGGGATGGAAGATAAATTGGTTCAATCGTATCATCGGGAAGGTTACTGTGGCCTAGCCTGCCTTTGGCTCTCAAAATTCCATCGTTGTCGAGAAAAAGTCCCAATGATTCGTTGTCTCTATCTGGTGGAGGTAGTATTTGTTGTTCTTGTTTAATTAATAGGGTTTTTGCCAGGTAAATTTCAAAATATGCAGGAACTATTCGGGTGTAGTCAATGTGGAATTGTTGAGGAAAAATGTTGGCTTTTGGGTGTAATTTGTATATAAAACGGAGGGAGAAGGCAAAAATCCGTAATAATTTCGGGAGTCTTGAAATTAAAGAAGGGTCTATTGTTCGGGTATTTAATTCGGTCTGGGTATGGAACGTCATGGCGATATTCGGAGAAGACGATTTTGGCGGATCATTGGAAAGGAAAGGCCTGATTTCGGTTTGAGGCCAGGATTCAGTTGTCAACCAAGGAGGTCCATTCCACCAGACTTTTTGTTGTTGTAGTTGTTGGGAGTTAATTAATCCACGGGAGCAAATGTCGGCCGGATTGTCGAGACCAGAAACATGTTGTACCAATAAATCAGGAATTTTTCTTATGTGGTTTAGGCAATTGGAAACAAAAATTTCATTGGTAGGGTTTTTCCCGGTTAACCACCCTAAAACAGCAGAGGAGTCTATCCAAAGGAAAAGAGGTACAGTAATGTTCAGGTGGGACAATTCCTTGTGTACATAAACCAGGGCATTGGTTCCTATTTTTGCGGCTATTAATTCCAGCCTGGGAACAGTTAGTTTATTGTTGGATTTCAAGGGTTTAATTTTGGTTTTAGAAAATAGTAAAGCGACCTGGGATATCTTGGAAATAGGGTTTAACGTACGTAAATACACGGCACATCCCATAGCAGTAAGAGACGCATCTGAGAAGCAGTGTAATTGGTAAATTCTGTTGTCAACAGGTAATGTTGAAATTAGTCGAGGGATTTGTACGGTGCCAATTTTCCAATCATTCATTAAGTTGTCCCAAGATTTAATTAAATTTGCAGGTAGTTTCTCGTCCCATGCGAGTTTTTCAGACCATAATTCATGTAGGAATAATTTCAAGGGTAAAATAATAGGACTAATATAGCCGCAGGGATCGTAATGGGAAGCAATAAAAGAGAGAATAGTTCTCTTCGATAATTCTGTAGGTGGGGCATGGGTTTCCACAAATAGGTAATCTGTATCGGTTTGCCATCCAACGCCGAGAAATTTCTGTTTGGGACCATTGAGTTTGTCGTCAAGAGGAATATGGTTAATAGTTTCGGGAAGGTTGGAAATAAATTCACGTAGTTTCATGTTGGCCGTTAAAAAGAGGTTGTTTAAAGATTCACATTTTTCTTTGCCTTCTAGGACAGTTTCCGCTCCAAACAAAATGTTGTCTACGTAAATATTTGGTAGTATTTCGTCAGTTAATTTTGATGGATTTAGTCGTAAATGGTATAAAATAGTAGCTGCCAGTAAAAATGGGGAAGGGGAAAGGCCAAATGGTACTCGGGTGAATCGGTAAATTTGTAAATTTTCGAGGGATAACGGTTCTTGGATATTTTTAACCACAAAAATCGAATCGAGTCTCGATGGTTTGGATGCACTGAGACTTGTAGGAAGGCTTTTTGGATATCACACACAATTACTATTTTTGGAATTCGCATTCGGAGGAGAACACCTACTAGTTCCGGCAAGATTACAGGTCCCGGATGAAGGCAGTCATTAAGAGAAAATGAATTAGGAAGTTTTGCGGACCCATCATAAACAATGCGGACTTTTTTGGGATTTATGACCGCATGGTGGGGTAGGTAATGTAACGGAGGATGGAAATTCTTGGGATTTTCAACCGTTTCGATAATTCCCAGTTGGTGTTGCTCTTCAATAATTTTGTTGTATTTTTCCAACAAGTCGTTGTTTTTATTCAGTGAATTCAATGTAGAACGTAGTCTTCCCCAACATAATCCAAAATTTGAAGGAAGTGGTAAGGTTTTTGGGCAGGATTTAAATGGAAACATAACTTGGTATCGGCCATTGGTAAATTCGGTAGTTCGGTTAAATTCTTGTAGGACCGAGTCGTCAGTCTTGGTCGGGGAAGGATCGGTAATGCCTATACTTTCGAGGGAGAAAAATTCATTAGGAGGTTCTGTGACTGTTGTTTGAGAAGAGAAGTTGGTAATCTGGAGGGAATTTGAGCACCCGAAAGGTTTTCCAGCAATTATAAGACCAAGAAGTGTCTGTATTAGGTGATAACCGGAGGGTAATCGGTATATTGGAGTGGGCTCTATTTCATAGTAAAAGTCACTTCCCAACAGGATGCTTGGAACAACATTCTGGTAATTTCGTACAAGATCCTTTTCGTAGACAAGTTCATTAGAAAATGGCACATATGGCGTGGGTTGTGTAAGGTGGTTCAATGTATTGGCTTTTATTATTAAGGAACGGCCATCTACTAATTTAAGACCGAAGGTGGTAGTATAAGTAGGCAAAGGAGTTATGGAAGGGTTATTGAAAACCCCAAGGTTAATAGAACTGGGGGATAGGTTTAGATTCAGGGCATTGGCCACGGTAGTATGAATATACGTATTAGTACTGGCGTCATCGAGAAGCACAATTCCTTCATATTGACAGGAAGGGAAGTCTGGATTGAAAATAGTGGTTCGAACACATTTAAGCAAAATCGGTCGGTAATTGCTTGTAGGGTTAGTAGAAGAGTTTGTTTGTTGGTTTGGTTCTAGATTAGGTGGAGGAGGTGGACGGGGGTCATTACTTATAGTATAAGGTGCGGATTGGGAGAAATGGCAATCGGGCGTTGGCTTTGGCTGTTGGAAATTTAGCAGTCTCGTGGGAGGTTGGGATTGGCGAGGGTTTTCGTTGGACGTATTACGGTAGGTTTGAGGAGGCCGTTGGTGAGGTCTCGGAGTAAATTGAGGTTTTGGGGAGAACAGAGAGAGAGACTGGTCCCGAACGCACAGTCTTACCCAGATAGCGAACTTTACCTGTTGCTATTTTTACTCGATTTTTTTAATTTATTAATTTTCTTCTGTTAATTCCTATTATTTTTGTTTATTGATTTCTACCTTCCACTTTTTGTTTTACTCTGAACCATTCTCTTACTCGAAATGTCTCTCCCGTTCAGAAACCAGATTAAAAGCCTGTATCCAGAAATTACGGAGATTTTGGAAGCCAATAAGACTTTTCCTGTCCCTCTTCGAACCCAGGGACAATCGGATCATATTTACTTTACCCAGATCCGTGCTTACCTCCGTGAATTGGATTTTACACTTTCCGAAGCCTCCGATAACCTAACCAACCTTTCTACTACTCACGACCATTGGATGGACCTTCGAGCAAAAATGACTGGTCCCGAACGTACCCATGACAATGACGTCTATGACGAATTTACGAAATCCTGCCCGTACCCCACACTTATTGGAAAACTCAAAAAATACGTCCGATCATTGACTGCCCAGAAGAATGAATTAACCGCCATTTTACCCGGCAATAATTCCAATACCCCTCCTCCTACCGCTAATACCGCCTCAACCTCCTTGGCCCACCTACCCAGAATGGCCCTACCGCAATTTACCGGGAACTGTGTTGAATTCCCATCATTTTGGTCCTCCTTCCAGGCAGCAGTCGGAGATTTACCAAATATTTCTGACTCAGTAAAACTTTCCTATCTCAAATCCTGCCTCCGTTCGGCTCCTCTAGCCATTATTGAATCCTTCCCGCTTGTTGATCAATCCTATCCTCAAGCCGTCGACCTTCTGAAATCCAAATATGAAAATCCTACCGAGATTTCCCGCTCCTTATGCCAATCCCTCAAACAACTACCAACTGTCAGAAAAGGCGAATATTTTTGCCGTGATTTATCTTCCCTAGTAAATGAATTCGAGAGCCTAATCTGCCGATTTACTCAACAAGGAGAAAATACAGACAACATACATATTCAATTAGAAATAGAATCAAAACTACCCACATTTGTATTAGAAGAAATTTATAAAGCCAAATAAAAAACCCTGCTTGGACAACAGAATTATTAAAGCAAAAATTGAAAGCCATATTAAAGAGGAAAGAAGATATCTCAGCCATGAACAACAGCCCTCCAAAACCGCAAGTTCAAATTTCCCCTCAAAATTTATCTCCACCTAGAATTGACTCGCCTCCCTTACCTCAATCCTCATTAACCTTCCATACACAGACAATGCGTAAATTTCCTACCAGAGAACCCAAGCTTCCCTGCTTGTTTTGTAATGTATTTGGGCATTTTTCCCCTTCCTGCCTACAATATCCTGACCTATATTCCCGCCGAAATAAACTCAGAGAATTACGGCGATGTTTTAGCTGTATGAAAGAAGGGCATAAATCTCCCCACTGCCGAATGCCAATGAAATGCTCTTCCTGTGGTGGCCCTCACCCACGGGCCCTTTGCTCTCACCTATTACCCTCAAACCCTACATTTACACCGAGGCCTTCCCAACGGCCTCCACTGCCTTACCTTGATAATACTGCCAACGAAAATCCTCGTCCATTCCAATATCCTACGAGAATGCCACATTTTACCCAGCCCCAGCCATCATTCAATGCTCATTTTGCCCAATCCCGGCCTGATACTAGACTTACCGAACCGCCTCAGCCTCCTTCCTCTCCGAACAATTCAAATGCCAATCAACAGACCTTTTGTTCCCAACTGATAGCAACCCCAGTTAAAACCCTGCCCAGAAAGCCTACCCTGAATAAATGGTACAACAAAGTCAAATCATGTCAACAGCCTATTTGTAACAACCGTAATGTAAAATGGAAACAACGCCCAACTACACCAAAACCAAAAGCCTTGCGGGAGGGTCTAACGAAGATGCCAGCAACAACAATGGAATGTAATCCCCGGCCAATAAAGGTAAAAATAAAACCTAAACTGATTAATTCTCCCCATATATTTCCATGCACAACTCTTCCTAATTGGCATGGTGGTTCGTGTTTGGCTTATACCCTGGCCTATGTTCCCGTACAACGACAACCCATTCCGTTATCCCAGATAAACTTCATGGTGCGCCACCCACCAACACCTTTGAATATGCTCAACTTCAACCAACAACGATGCCCCTTGCTGCTGCCCCCACAACTACTCCCACTAAAAGCCTTGGCCGGAATGTCGCGAAATGCGAAATTTCTTTAATTAAAATTTTATTTTTAATTCAATTTTATTTTTTGTACTCCTTATCTTTTAAATCTATCTAAAGAATTTTTCCCAGCCTTATTTTTATTTTATTTATATAAAACTTTGGCCTGTATATATATGCTTATTCTTCTTCCTAGATTGATCAGTTTGTAAATCTTCTTAGCCTTCCTTATTATTTTGCTTCACATTAGCAATTTTTCCTATCCTTACTTTAATATATTTTTTTGTGAAAGAAATAAACTTTGTCTGGAAAAGAATTTATGTTGTTTTAACCTGAGAGAAATTATCCCAATCTCTCTGTCGCTGGATTCAGAATTACCCTCATTAGAGAAAGCATAACCCCAAATTTTTCTTTTCTCTACAATTACTAATTGTTTTACCGCAAAAAATTGTAAATTAAAAATAAATTATTTTTTAAATAAGCGGTAAATATTTGAACTTATTAAAAAGTAATTAAACTGTTAATTAACATAATTTAACTTAAACGACTAATTGTTTTACCGCAAAAAGTTATCAATTAAATTATTTTTTAAAAACTAAAATCTCAAACTTGTCAAAGATAATTAAAATTTAATTAACAATTAAAAATAATTGACTAATTGTTTAAAAAAAAGTTTTGACTAAAAATTATAATTGACTAATTGGTTCTAATAATTTAGGTAAATTTTAAAATTATTTGAAAAAATTTTTTAAGATTGTTGGGAAAGGAAAGGTTACTGCTATGTATTAGAAATCGACAAAATTATCTTGGGGAAGTATTTAAAATGTTTTGGAGAAGGTCAAAATTGAAGAGAAAGTAAGATTTTTAATTTAAATTTTAATTATAAAAATATTAATTATTAAATTAATTATTAATATTAATATTAATATTAATATTTATTAATTAATTAATTAAATTAATATTAATTATTAAAATTATTAAATTATCCATTTTTCGCTTTATTTTTCGCGTGTTATTTCTTTGAGGATATGATGTACCAACTTGCTTTAATCTTGAAAAAACTTCTTTATAGGTTTTTTGTCCAACCCATATCATAAAAAAACTTAATATATTGATTTTTTAATTGTTGAAATAGTTTTAAATAGCCTAATACCCAAATTTTAAAATAATTTCTTTTATAAAATGTATTTTGATTTAAAATATCATAAATTTATTAC